GTCCAGCTCTGGAGCCCTCAGCATAAGAAAGACATGGACCTGTTGGAGCGGGTCCAGAGGAGGGCCACGAAAATGATCAGGGGGGATGGAACACCTCTGCTATGAAGAAAGGCTGAGAGAGTTGGGGTTGTTCAGCCCAGAGGAGAGAAGGCTTCGGGAAGACCTTATTGCAGCCTATCAGTACTTAAAAGGGGCTTACAAAAAAGATGGCAGCAAACTTTTTAGCAGGGTCTGCTGCAACAGGACCAGGGGGAATGGCTTTAAACTAAAAGAGGCTAGATTGAGGCTAGATACAAGGAAGAAATTTTTTACACTGAGGGTGGTGAAGCACTGGTTGCCCTGAGAGGTGGTAGATACCCCATCCCTGGAAACATTCGAGGTCAGGTTGGACGGGGGTCTGAGCAACCTGATCTAGTTGCAGATGTCCCTGCTTGTTGCAGGGGGGTTGGACTAGATGACCTTTAAAGGTCCCTTCCAACCCAAACTATTCTATGATTCTATCCTATGAAAACAGGCTGAACAGCCAGGCCCAGAAGGTGGTGATCAGTGGCACAAAGTTGAATTGGAGGCCAATAACTAGCTGTGTAGTCCAGGCGTCAATACTGGGTCCGATCCTCTTTAACATCATCATTAATGATCTGGATGATGGGGCAGAGTGTAGCCTTATCAGCTTTGCTGATGACCCCAAACTGGGAAGAGTGGCTGATAACACCAGAAGATCTTGCTACCGTCCAGAGGAACCTCGAGAGGTTGGAGAAATGGAGTGACAGGAACCTCACGACAGTCAACAAGGAAAAGTGCAAAGTCCTGCTCTTGGGAAAGAACAATCCCAGGCACCAATATATGCTGGTGGCCACCCAGCTGGAAAGCAGCTTGCCAGAAAAGGACCTGGGGGTCCTGGTGGACACCTAGTTGAACATGAGCCAGCAATGTGCCCTTGCAGTAAAGAAGGCAAGGGGGAGGGACAGAGCTTTCCCAAAACCTTTAAAGGAGAAAACATCATTTGCTGTGACACTTGAGCAGGACCCCAACTGGCACCTTCCCTTGAGGAAAGCAAGAAACATCTATCAAATCCAGCATCTGCTATCCTTCCCAATATCCTCTTCCAAACCAAAACCGAACTTTACTATGAAAAGTCCGGTTAGAAAGAACAGCAATCAAATGAGTGCATCCTTTCTTGCCTTCATGTTTATACAGCATTTCTCTGGTTTTGGTATCTGCTGACCAAAATGTCAGCCACCTGGGTACTTCCAGATATCCTTCAAAACAGATGTTAGCCATCATGACCAACATGGTGGTTAATATCCACAGTGAAGTTATACTGCAGAAAGGGAAGGGGA